CCACACAAACATGAGAAAACGAAAAGCATCTGAAGCTTTTAATAATAAATTTGACTACCTTTATGATGTTGTTAGTACTGATAAGTTATGAAAGAAGATTAATTTACAAAGTTTGATATAATTAAAAAATTAATGATAGCTTACAATCTCAATCTTAGCTATGGATTGGCATTTCATCATGTATACACCAGAAAAGATTTACTGTGTAAAAGAAGACTATTATCTTCCACTCACTGAAGATATTTTAGAGGATGATAGAGGATTTCTCCAGAATTTAAAAAAGGTTATGGAGGTAAGTGTGGGTTTGTTAAGGGACTGGGTCACTGTAGATGATTCACCAGTTACTAAGAAGACTAGAATGGAGAAATATATTAAATAGTCAGAGGATAGAAGTTTTGGCACTTATGTGTCTATTTTTAGTTACACATTCTTTAAATAAACTTTGTAATAATCTTTGGCATACAATAATTACATTTACTGATTGAGAAATCATTTTTTTTTAACATGTATACTGTATCAAAAAAAAAACTTTTTTAAAAAAACTTTTTTTACCACATCAACCATGATTATATAAAAACCTTATCTTATTGTATAAAATAAAAAAATATATATCACCATTATAATGTGAATACAAATTAAAAAAATTGATTATTCATCTTGTGATTCACATGAGTATACAATAATATAGTAGAAGTTACAAGAAAATTCCTTTCTGAAAAAAATTAAAGATTGAAGCTGGTGATCACATACATCTTTCCATCTCTAATAAATTTGATGAATATCTAAATGAGTATTACTAAATGAAGGTTTCAAATGATTCTGAATTTCAGTTTGGATATTATTAACATTAAGAATAACAAAACAATTTAGAGTCATATTTTCACACTCCTAAATATAAAACCAATAATGAGTAAAATTCTATATGAAGTTTTTATTATAATAATAATATGTAAACATTCAAATAATTATCACTAATTATTTAACAATATTAATGAACAGGTAATTTAATTGTTGTTAAATTACAAAAATTATCTTTATTTTTATTTAATTTTGTTTCTTTAAATAATAAAAATACAATTCTTAAAATACAAATATAGATCATGTAAATAATAAATAAATTAAATTAACATTATAATCTATATATTATATGTGGATTTATAGACTTCATAGAAGTAAGATCTTAATTAAAGATAATATTTTAAATATAATATAAAATAATAATAATTATAACGCCATCACCAAAATTCTTAATAAAAATATTAATACAATGAAAATTATTAATATTCATAATTATTTAAAGAAAAACGCAAATAACCCCAATTGTCAAATTGTAATAGTAAAATTTGAAAAGATAAAATTTTTTACATTACCAAATATGGTAATAAAATTAATTGTCTAATTTCAACTAGAATTATTTTATTGTGAATTTTCTACGATTGTTACATAATACCTTACTTTGAAATAAATCATTGACAATATTTGAAAAAAAAAGAATAATATTTATCTTATAACTGAACTCTGCTTATTTTTATATTGTTATTTCATTCATCTGATTTGGAGTCTTCAAGGAAAAGATATTGACATAATATGATAACAAAATGCTTTTCACCTGCAATTAGTGAAATCTCTATTCTATTAAGCAAATTTATTATCTCATGGAACTCAAAGATGAATGTATTATTCTATAAAAGGTAAAATTAAATCTTTCAGCCTAACAATTGCTTTCAAAGAATGAAAATGACAAATTTTTGACAATCTTGAAGATAGCAGAGATCTTAAGTTCCCTGACATATGAATTTTGATATTATTTTTAAATAAGTATAACAAACTTTCCTTATTCATATCCTTTTCAGATTTCATTTATAATTTCTCTTATCAGAGAAAAACATTTTCAATAAGAAAATTACATAATTATTAAAGATATAAACTATTTTTATTAAATTGTTGTTAATAAAAATAAAATATTATTAATTTTTAAATATTTGGTTCTCTCTTCATCTCAATTTTTAAAAACCTACACCCTATAAAAAATTTGCATACGTTTTTTCATTATTATAAATAAGTTTTGTATACGTTTTTTGAAATTCCGTATCAC